GGGTTGATTTATCTCAGTTGAGTTACAAATCCTTGTATAAAGGCTGCCAAACTATAAAGGAAACCTGTCACGACTGGATGAGACATCAATCTGAGATTTTTTCCGAGTTACGACTTAGATGCCAAGCCATTCTATCAACCGAATGAGTTGAAATCAGTTTTAAAAGAATAATTCCTAGTTAATGTAGCAAAAATACTTATAATGAAAGTTAACTTACATGATGTGGGATGTGCGATAGACTTACCTCCTCGTGGAGCACCCTGGGCAACGTATACTCATATGGCAAAAAGGCTATTGACTGGCAGTTGACTTCTCACTTCAAACTACCATGGCCCGACTGCTTGTCATATTCGACCCCTTCCACAGGACTCGTCTTACCTTTTTCTCTACCTTTGTGTCTGCCTGCCTCTTTTACATCTGTGAATCGCTCTTCTGTTCCCCGCCCCTCGACTTTCTGCTACTTTGATGAACCTTCCCTCTGTGAAGCCCGAAGTCAGCTAAATGGTTAATGATAGCTATCAAAACGCCTGCCATTTGAAATAAATAAATTCCAAGTTAGTCAAGTCTAGCACTTAGACACAGTAACTAGAAAATTAACTTTCGGCACTTTGGGTATGACCCCATTTGATGGTCAAGAGGTCGAATAATCAAATTAGTACCGCATTTTAGGACATCAAGAAGGTGCAATATCACTTGTACGTACATTTTAAACTTCTTTTACATTTGTGAATCGCTTTACTGTTCCCCACCCCTCGACTTTCTGCTACTTAGTTGAATTTTCACTCTGTGAAGCCCGAAGTCAGCTAGAGGGAGAATGATAGCTATCAAAACGCCTGCCGTTTGAAATAAAAGTTACGTGATATAAGCTGATCCAATAACGCTTCAAATTTGGACTAGTTTAGGTTGAAAATCATTATTATTCTAAAGGGCACTCTGAGATGAATCTGTTACAGTCATGCCGATTTCGAACTAGCCCAGTTCAGCTAATTTCCGTAATGGTATTGAACGCTTACTTGGAATTAATTGGAATTGCCTTAGCACTCGTGAGCAGAATACTTGAACATCCTTTACAGCAATCTCCGTATTTCAATCATTCTATTAGGTATATCAAGGTTTTTGCATTGTTATTAAACTTAAACAATGAGGTATTAATAACAATCGTAGAGTGACAAACTAGAACATTCCTTCATAGTATCAAAATTACTTCTATAATAGCAGATGAGCGAATGGGTTTGAAATAGATCCCAATATTTTCTAAATAGTTTCCTAAAGTTTCAAAATTACTGATCTGATCTCAAGGCTTCGAGAGTGTGGTAGGCTCTGAGGAAGAGGTTAGCCACGTGCTCGCTGCAAACATTATCTTCATAGTCAAAGACCACCATGGCGACAATGGCTATGGTGATCCCGACTTAGTAGACATTCATATGCAGTGTCCTCTAGATTTGATCTCAGTCATTTCCATTAAAACAACTGAAAAGAAACAGAGCAATTCGAGCGAGTGCGCTCACACTTTGTTCATAAGATTTCATTTGAATAGGACTTTTAAAATGAATTTTTTATTATGAATAAATAGTAAATTTTTATATTATCTATTCAAATAATTTACCACACCCAAGCGAAATAAAGTATTACGCGGATATGGAAAATATTACAATAATATAATATTATTCAATAATATTATAATTATATATATCTCCAGTTTTTAAACTTCTTCTTAAATCATTAATACATTATCTCTCTTATTTATAGATTAGCAAAAATATTAAAACAAAGAATCTGTTAGGCACACCAATTGTATTTTAATAAATTTTATTTAATTTCCAGATCCGTTTCAATGAGTTAAACTGTGTTTGTATGATTTATTAATTTTTTCACTAAGTAAGTTTTTTAAACTTTATAAAATTCATTTAATTTAACTCCTGTAACCAGCGAGCTCTCATATTGTTGATTGTTCTCATTCCCAGTTTGACTATGACGCCACAGGAAGAGTTCGATAAAATTACTGAATTTGCCAATAAACTTACGGGACAACTATTTTTCGAAAGGTATAACAGAGCTCAATTTGAAATCACATTGGATATTCTTCCAAAACCTGGAGGCAGTTGCAAAATTTTCTTTAGTGTAGGTCAACTACATTTTTAATTCTCGTGGATAATGTTGCTAAATTTGCCCCTTTTTACATCTTGTAGTCCTCCTATCCAGAGATCAAGCCTGGATGGATAGTAACTTTTGGACGTCAAGTTGTCGATGCTAACTTCCCAGTGGAAGTCTCAACAATTCTTCAAGCTTTCATGTGCTGCATGTTTGTGATTACCAAACGCCTTGGTGAAGAATTACCATCAACCATAATCCAATTCGATCCGGATTTCTCTGAACTTCTAAACATTCGACTACCGGGACTCTCCGTGAGCACGTTTTTCGTCTAGCCATATTTAATTTACTTTTTTATAAAAATCAAAATATTGTTATTTAAAACGGAATTTTTAATGTGAATGCAATCCGAGATGCAGTACAAAAGTCAAGTCCTCGAGTGAAGCATTATATGATCTCTAATTGGAACACATGAAAACAGTTTTCCTCTCTAAACGCGGTTTTCTTAAAGAGCACTGCAAAGCTAAATTCATTCGGGAATATGCTTGCTGTAGGGGTCTGAATATTTCCATTTAGTGGCTACTTCGATGGATCTATCTTTTTATGGATTTCATGCCGTATTTCATTAAAAACATTAAGAATAAATATTGAGTTCCTTATAAAAATATTTCTTGAAATGTGCCCATTGATACGAGAGGTCGTTCTGACTCGATCGAGTTACTACTATACTAACGAAGTTGGGCATCTTATTGATGCATGTAAACTAATTAGGGAAAGAAATTTCAATGAATAGGCCAGAATTAGGCAAAACATAGTAAGCCAGGCCTAATTTTCATTTTCTTTCACTGCCAAATTTATTGACTCCAACAAAATTGGACTCACAAATGTTAACACACTATGAGATATAGTTCATCATAAAGGACAAATTAAGAGAACATCTTAATGGTTGCTGTTGGGTTGGAGCAGAGAACTATTGCCGCTCACACAAAGTAAGCTTTAAGTTCTTTTGGATTAAGACATATGGGGGTTGGAAGTGCAAAATGAGAATTTGAAATCAGCCTAGCATATACCGCTTTACAATTTAGTTTTCAAGTTCTTGTGACACTGTTTTTGGAAAGTGAAAGACAACTTTGAAGTTTATCCGGTTAATAGTCATGTCTAGAAATGACGGGGTCAACCGAAATTTACCAATTTGTCCATTGTCTGAGTAATCGATTTCTGCCAAGCTTTACTAAGGTTAGTTTAATATTCATCTATTAATCGTTCTGGGACCAAGGCAGATATCAATTTATAAATAGAACCCTATTTTCACTAGTGAACTTCTGATTATTCTTAACTGGTAAACTAATCCCTCTTCTCCCTGTCATCTCAGCAAGTGCTATATGCCTCTTAACAGTGAGCTTTACGACAGAATTCGACCATCTAACTTTACAATGAGAGGCTTTAAAACGTTCGATCGAAGATATTAATAGGCCAATTTTTGTTAATTTACCCTCTAAAGTGGAAGCGAATCGTGATAATAGATGCAAAGATGGAAGCCTAAAGGGAAATAATCGATTCATTTTAAAATAGATTCTTGAGCTTCACACTCTACATTAGAGATCTCTATATGTTCCCTCCAAGATACCATTGATAACCTGTACAAATCCCAACACTATTTTTTGTTTTATTAAACTGTTAGCCCTCATTATAGATTTTATGCAGGAGCGCACGATAGACTTGCCTCCGCGTGGTTCATCATGGGCAAAAAATGAGAGGCAATTATCTAGTCACAATGACAGCTGCAATCTCCCATAGAACGGAGCCTGCAGATGAGTGAGCCTTGCCTAATAATTTATTTGTATCAAAAGGCATGCTTTATGATAGATTTTACTAATCCTTTAGTTGACTTCGGGCTTCACAGAGGGAGGAACAACAAAATCACAAGATGTGGAGAAGGGGCACAGAAAAGTGATTCACAGTTGCAAAAGCGTCAGATACAAAGGTAGAGTAAAAGGTAAGGTAAGGTGAGTACTCTGAGAGTGGTCGAATGTGGATTACAGTCTGGTCAGCGTCGTTTGAAGTCAGAAGTCAACTTCCGGTTTATAGACTTTTTTGCTATATAGCTCATCCTTTTACAATAACTATCATAAAGCCTACTGTTTTATATGAATAAATATATTTTATGCAATTTAAGAAAACGAATTTCATTTATAGAAAAGTTATAAATAACAGAAATGTTAATAAATGAAAATATTTGTAGCTCTAATGTTTCCAGAGTCGAAAAAAATGCAAGAAGAAATAAACCGCTGTTTAGCAAATTTGCAACTTAAAAGGACCAATTTTGGCACAAATTTAGAGGTAAACCAACTATTGGGGGTGAGGGAAACAATGTTCTTTGGCTTATCTTCAAGTGAAAAGATGACATGAAATTAAATCCCTACTTTGCATGAACCAAACGTCTAATGATACTTATTGGCCATTGAAGTCTTTATTTCCATTTGCTGCTTTTGCTGCAGTTATTAGTGATAGTTAAAATATTAGAATGGTTAAAATAACATCCACATGCCTAATTTACCTTTTTAATAATTGTAGTGGGTGCTATTAAAACAACCCCTGATTAAACCCACGTTATCTTTTCTGAAAAAAACATCCTAGTATGAAATAGGTCACTAAGTTAGCAAAGCTTCCACAATAATATATGGGAAGCAGTGAGCATATTACAACCAGGGCTGTGGGACACGTCATCGCATGCCTGTACGCCAGGATTGGGAGGTGCGACCGTACAAACAGTGACCAATCATTAACCTCTGTTTGTTAACCTAATCCGCCATCCTGTTTATGATTAAGCTCCCTGCGTGTACACTTTATCCACAATATACTAACTGAATAAACGTACTTCGTGCTACACGTCTGTTTCCTTCATAGCTGGGCTATAACTTAACTGGTTCTGGGAGTCTAGCTAGATGTATCAGAAATCTGCCACAGAGATTACTGAGTCAGTCAGGTTTTACTAGCGTAGCAATCCGTTACAGGGCTATACAACACTGTGACTCCTATTGACATCTGCACACACACACCGTCATCGCTGTTTATTTCACGCATATTCACGTCGAAAACCACGGAAGCCTGATCTAATTTATTCTATTTCAAAAGCATTTTGGTAAGCTGCCTAAACTGCTAACGTTTTAATTTTTGTAAAGTTAAATATCACCTTTAAAATCTATGCTTTGCTAGGAAAGCACTTAATGCTCGACATATGGGTGTGGGATAATTTGACCTTCAACTTATTTCGTCTTCAAGCAAAGCAAATGCAGAAATAAATCTTTGGTTTGGTTATTTAAAAGACCATTCGAAGTCTATTACCTCCTTACTTGAGAAGTAACAAATTAATTTTCATACTTAAAAACTTAAGTAACACGTTCATCGTGGAGTGTAGTTATCAAGGCCTTATTCGCGATCACTATTGCAGGTGAATTATTAAAAGTCCGTTGGAATTGTCCATGTCTATTTATATCAAATGGCAGGCTTTATGGTAGTTATCATTAGCCCTTTAGTTGAATTCAGGCTTCTCATTAGGGAGAGGAACATCAAATTGAAAAAAGTCGAGAGAGGGAGGGGGTGAGGAACAGAAGAGTGCTTTAAAGATGTAAAAGAGACAGACACAAAGGTAGATGGAAGGTGAGGTGAGTACTGT